AACCACTAGACCATATGGGAAAGACATGAATGTATGCAACTGGTTCATGACATGTACCAGCTGCATACATTGGGTACACATCCCTGACCCAGGTTTGAAAATTCTCAAGTGACCAGAATAAGCAGGCTATGGCCATGTAAGCAAACAATTGGAAACAATTGCCCGTACGGATTTTCATGTCCACGACAGTAGCAATGTACACAAACATGTACCATTATGTTCAGTATGTGTACTGAAGTACCTGATACTAGCAGTACTCACATGGTAGCCAAGGTCTGATGCATGATGGTAGAGATCCTGGGTTTCGTCATGCTGCATCAACTCCGCAACCATAGCCTGGCCCAGCCAGCCACTGATACACTCTGGGTCGACAGCCTGTGCCTTCGCAAACGCCTTGTGAGCCAGCTGCACTTGCACAGGAAAAATGTGGGCAAAGAAACAAGGAACATGGAGTAAGCTTCCCTTCCCCTTCCTGGTTTTCCATCCACAACCCGTGTCCATTTGATAAACTACTGTATACTAATATTTGTATAGTATAATGTGGTACACGAGTACCGTAAAGTACCGTTGATCCACCCCCCCCCCCCACACACACACACCATGTCGCTTCACAGCTGGGTTTTCCGCAGGGGGCGGGAATTAGATCAAGGCTGTCAAGTGCAGTACGACGTACAACAACGTGGAAGTTCTGACTCGATGTGCTGCATTGTGCACATTTTCATCCTGCACTCGCACGCATTGTGTACAGCAGTGCCATGCGTCGATTCAATATCACATTTCGTTGCATTTCGTTGTGTACGCCGAAATCGCATCACAGGCAGAAAATCGACAGGGGCGGCAATTAGAGAGGGGGCGGATCAACGGAACTTTCCGGAACACGAAAAAGACTGTGCAAGAAGAAAAAGAAAAAGAAATGTTCCCACACCGGGAATCGAACCCGGGCCGCGGCGGTGAGAGCGCCGAATCCTAACCACTAGACCATATGGGAAAGACAACATTACAGGGATGGGCAGTGAATATGACAAGTAGAACAGGTGCACTCACCTCGATGTTATTTTGGGAAATGTAGAGAGAGCCGAGGCTGGACCACGTCATCGCATCCTGCAGAGAGAGGGAAGTGAGCACGCCATCTACAGTGTCAGTACCATTGAATTACTTAAGAGCCTGGACAAGACACCTGCAAGCACATGACTGTTTTTTGTCGTAGTACGTAGATGTTTACTGCACATCTGCTGCAGCTGATCTCCCACAGGCTTGCAAGAGACCTGGGTAAAAGAGGACTGGATAAGTAAAGTTTTGACTTTAGACAAACAGACTAGATGTTAGAGCCAGGGAGTATTCCCTGGCCAGAAGTATGTGCTCAAGGACCAAGGTCATCTCTTGCATGGCCAGACACTGGGAAACAAGAAACAGGAATGTAAGGCTCTGGCTGGCGCTTGTGGTACTGCGACTTTGTACGGAAAATTTACGTCAGCTTGGATAAGACTGTACCACAATGGCCAAACGGAATACTTTATGGACAGACAAGAATATGAGTAGTGTATTACACATGGAATACTACATAGTTTGGTCGTCAACGTACATCGGGCTGAAGTTGCAGTGCCTTGATTAATGCATGCTGTGCCAAAGCCAGTCGGTTGATCGCTGGAGAGAAAGAAGGGAAAACCCCCAGAAGAGTGAGTGAGAAGGACAGCCAAAGGATGTGAGTGCAGATGGCGGGTATGTTAGAGACTTAGTTAGTGAGCGAGTGAGTGAACAAACAATTGGATCAGTTGATGAAGAAAGTGAATGATTGGATGGCATGCACGGGTAATGCAAAGGTTTGCTCAACACCTGTTTAGATTCAGGAATGTCAGAAGTCAGGGATGACTGACTGAGTTCAAATGGAGGTGACGTCATGAAGGAGCTTTTCAATCAAAGTCGCAAGCACAAAAAAATGTCAAATACTTCCGAGCACGAATATATTGTGTGTACAGTTTTTTGTGGTGATATCGTTCTTCCATAGCCAAAAGGTCTGGACACCCAATTACACACCCTACAGTATTGGCGCAAAGTCAATGTGAAGTCATTAGCAATACCTTGATGAGTACAAAGCACTCCCAGCGTCCTCCAGTGAGAGCAATCATCCGGGCGCAAGCGGATCGCAGTCTGAATAGCCTGCATGCACCAAGACAACAAACGGAAAACACACAGCCGAACACGACGTCACTCACACGTTACTCGTACCCGTAGCAGCACACGGAAAAGTGTCACAGTCGTACCCATTGACCCTTGCTACGGCTATGCTCTATTTCTTTGAAAATAGATTACAAAGCACTTGTACAACAGGTGTATTAGTTTGTCGGTATACAACACATAAATACAGTGTACACACATAGACCTGCCCGACTGGTAGGGCCTGCTGAGTGCTGGTAACAACACACTGGTCTCAGCAGGCTACATGCTGGCAAGTGAAGTATTACCCCGTGAACAAAGCAGAGCATTATGCACTGCAAAGTCTAGTAGTGTGTTCATAGTGCTGGAGCAGCAGTGCAACTCCAGCACAGGTCCAGCAGTGCAACTCCAGCACAGGCCCAGCAGTGCAACTCCAGCACAGGCCCAGCAGTGCAACTCCAGCACAGGTCCAGCAGTGCAACTCCAGCACAGGCCCAGCACAGGTCCAGCAGTGCAACTCCAGCACAGGCCCAGCACAGGTCCAGCACAGGTCTGGCACAGGTCCAGCACTGACATGCATGACATTGAGGTTGAGTTTCACTTGCTACCACTGTTATCACTGTAGTCTTGCTCATAGGGGGTTAAGCCAAAGGGAAATCATGTCTCCTTTCGCAAGACTTTACAGGTCCGAGAATGAGCAGCAAAACTTGGAACGAACCTCAGTGAGCACAATCTTGACATTGAGGACAATGAAGTTGGAAATCACATTTCTTGCTGGAACCACTTGGCTTAGTAATAGCTGGCAATGCATACAGGTGTGTCAACCAGGGCAACAGCTAACTTGCAGCAGCAAACTGGCCATTGCAGCATGCTACAGAATAATCAAGCAGGTTTGCTCTCAGGGTTGTTTTCCGTTATCACCAAAACACACACCAGATACCAGTAGGTATGACCTCAAAAAGTCACGATTGACAAAGGTTTCACGCACATACCTCAAGAGACTGCTGTGCTAACTTCTCTCGGTTTTGGTCTCGAGCCTCATCCTGGGAATATCAAAAACGACAAATGCAAAATACACATGCACGCATGCACATGCACACACACACACACACATACACACACACACGTACACACACACGCACACACGCGCGCGCGCGCACACACACACACACACACACACACACACAAACAACAGAGCGCAGCCAACAAAAGGACAACATGATTGAAAAGCTCGAACTGCACATACTACCGTCGTGACGGTGACAAGAACGAGAGAGAGAGAGAGAGAGAGAGAGAGAGAGAGAGAGAGAGAGAGAGAGAGAGAGAGAGAGAGAGAGAACAGAGAAAGATCTGATCTGTAAGCACTCACCTTCATCTGCTCATAGCAGTTGACAGCAATGTCATGCCATACCCAATGCATGTACTCCGAATCAGGACACACTTGCTGACATTGCGCATATGCTCTGTGATTACACACAAACACGCACACACACGCACGCACGCACCCACACACATCATCACCCAGTATCCACACACAATGGTCAATGTTCAGAACAAATTGTTGTTCTATGTATGCAGGCTAGACTGCTACCAAAGTAGAACCAGTCGTGTCTGTGTTGTTTTTCTCAGAAGCAAGATCCCTGTCTCCTCCCCTACCCTCTCTCATTCTCGACAAATCAATAGATCACGTGCATGTCCGACCACCCACCTATCCGCCTGCTTGTCCACGCCCACATCCACACCCACACACAACAGTCACCTCACTCCACATATCTGTCACAAAAAATTTGATAACCATCTTGGTTCTTACCGGCTTGCTAACAAGAGCAGATCCATTCTGCTAGATGGATGTTGAAGTTGGGAGAACATGGAAGGAATACATAGCCTGCACCATAAGAAAACAGAAACAAGTACAGAGTACAGAGTACAGAGTAATGTTACAGGGCTGTGAGTCTACAATCCTACTCCGGTTATGCGAATACGTCCATTCTCCAAAAGCACAGGTCACTGCTTGTCGTACATCGCACCGTGCATGTCATGTCTTGTCAACATACAATCTTGGGATTTTCGGTTGTGTTCTCCAGTGTACGGCTCACTGCATGCTTTCATATACGTCACACTTACCAGCAACTATGAACACACATTGAAAGAGAGACAGCATTGGAACATCACTATACGCGTATGGATGTAAGGGTTACTAGTACACTATCAGAATAGACTTTCAACACACCTATAGACCAACTGCGATAGTGTCCCGATACAGGACTGTTCTTGGAAGAGATAAGCGTAAGGATCATACACTGTTTGCTTATAGAGGTTGGTTGCGATGAGCAGACAACTTAGCGAGTAACCATACTCTGCTGGGCTCAAGAAAACGTTTTTATTCACAAGCTGTCAGCATAGCTAAGGACGCTACTAACATAATGTGACTGCAGTACGGTGTAGACTGTAGAGTGGAGTGAACTATGCCACACTGCCCACTAGTGACTACATGTATTGCCAAGTACACTGATACCAGTTCCAATACTTGGACACTCATCGTGGTACTACTCGCAGAACATGTACAGCACTTGAAAAACCTTCCGGCAGAAGCAACAGCAGGAGCTGTAGCACACATATCCGGCATGCTAGTATAGGAATTATTCTCTATCACAGCACACCACATGTTCCTACCCTTGCAGCACATCGGTGGGTAGTGGCACCAGCAGCATGCAAGCGTCGCCCATCAACTTCCACAAGCACATCAGTCTTGGGTTGATGGCAGCAGCACTGTGCCAGTACAACACAGAACAACATAAAAACAATCAAGCCAGAGAACTCTAATTCTGCACCGTATCCTCACTTCAACCAGCACCGAGGCTGAACAAACTTTGAAAGGCTGAATAATGTCAAAGACATGTGTCCAGTTCTCATGTTTCACATAGCAAAGTACAGTCATCCCGCATAAAACAAGGCTGTTGAGTGAGTGCTTCAGAGACTTGTAAGACTGCATTCGTGAATACATCCAAGACCGTTAATGAAGCACAACCACTAGGCTAGCTTACCGAGCAATGGCGGCCAGCACTTCACTCACACAGTCGACGGCCGTCTTGTCAAAGTTCTTGGCCATGCAGTCCTTGGCAAGGCAGAGGAAGGAGTCAGCCAAGCCTGCAAGGATATACGCACACATAAGATAACAACACTTCTCTCTCTCTCTCTCTCTCTCTCTCTCTCTCTTTCTCTCTCTCTCTCTCTCTGAATAGACATGCACGCACCCAATGAGACTGGGGCGTAGGAAGCAGTTTAATATTGGCGTGGCGAAATTGTGAGAGGGGGTCCGGGGGTCCTTCCGCGGGTTTTTTTGAAAATTGGGCCTAAAAGGCCATATTTTAATGCTACAGAATAATATGAGAAATAAGAATATGCATGCTGATGATACACCGCATTGTCGATGTAAAACATGGTACCTGTACAAGAGTCGACAAGCCATCAACAAGGTTGAATGTAAAAAATAGAATAAAAAATTCGAAAATTATTGGTCCGGCGACCGCCGGGCCTGCCGGACCGGTTCCTACGCCCATGTGAGAGCACATGTCATAGAGTCTTAGACCTTGACTGAATATTTCACCTACTCGCCTAGGTCACCTTAGCCTTTTCTAACTTGAAACTGATGCTCCAGCCATGTCAATGAATACATGTACTTCAAAATAACAGTGTTGGCTAGAGGACAAGTCACAACACCAGTAGGACATGTGTTTTTTTTTACCAAATTTTCGAAATGCTTTACCTTTCAACCCTGGCAGGTATGTGTCGTTCATCTCCAGAAGACGGCGATAATCAACTATTGCTTCGCTGTTCAAACCAAGTCTGCTCTTGATGTCCGCTATTCTGGAGAATGCAAGCAAAAAACAATAAGTCAAGGAACAGGTATCGGCAAACCCGCTCCACTTCCTCTACTACAACAGACATAAAGACTGCTATGTATGCAGTAGCAGATCCAGACGGGAGCACGCCAGGCACGATACAGCCACTCACAACTCCAATCATGATTCTACGACGGAGAACTGTGATTTCAAGTGATCTGGCACCCGTGACCTCATTATTCTGAAGTGCTTCACTATTGCGTTTTGAGAAAAGAGAGGAAAGTAGCACAATGTCAATGAAATTGACACATGTAGATAGTCCCTATACCCGACAACTCAATCGTTAACAAATAATTGACCACCTATTTCAGATATCGTGCCACCCTGCTTGCTCTGGAAACAAAAGCTTCGCGACTTCGATCGACCTGTCAATTCTGGTGAATTGACCACCGAGGAAACGAGCGGTGGTGACTCCGAGCGATACTCAAGCGATGCAATTTCTCTTGTATAACAGTGTACACACTCCAAAGCAGTACATGTATACCCACTCATTGTCGCGATGTATTTTTTGTTCCACCAAACTCAGTTATTGAGCACAGGACTCTAAAGAACATGAATGCAAAAGTCACGGAGTTTTTTTGTTTTGTTTCCGGAGTACCGGTAAGTACTTTCTAGCCTGGATGTTGTTCGGCAGTCCGTTCTTCGGCGTCCAGTGTTACTGTATAACAATGCTAGTGTGATCACAGTCATCATGGTCCATCTGATCTATACTTACTTGCACAAGCCATACACACTGGACGACAGCTACATGCACACAAAGACACAGACAAAGACCAACAGGCACACAGGCACACAGGCACACAGAATGCACACAGATATATAAGTATCAAGTCAAAATCATGTGCAGTCTTGTGTTCTCAGCATCAGGCATTGTATTATTTTGGTGTCATACCTGAGGGATGCATGGACAATCAGAACTCAATGGATCTACGGTGGGGGGTCACTGCGCCATGAAATATTTAGATTAGACAAGCAATTAGTTACCAGTGAAATAGCGTCAAGTATGCACAATCGAGAGCAAAGCAAGAAGTCCTTGCGCAGCAATCAGCTCTGGCATGTGTAGCCTTGCATGCATCCACATGCAGTATAATAGTGACGTCACGTGACGACATCATAATAATATCACAAACTCCAGCATACAGCACATGCTGAACACATGCTGAACACATGCTGAACACATGCTGAACACATGCTGAACACATGCTGAACACATGCTGAACACATGCTGAACACAGAACATTGGACTGTGCGAGCCACGTGCCGTGTACATGGACAAATACATGTAATGTGATCAAGTCCTGACAAAATGCACTACAACCATTACATACCTGAACTGAACGTAGAAAAGCTTTCAGTGCTGAGGAGTAGCTACCGCGATTCAAGTACGCAGTTCCCAGAGCTTCCCATGTCGACCTTGTAGGGGAGAGGGGGGCCAATGTATTGGTGTGTGCAACATGGAGGATAAGAAATAGGGAAACACATCAACATAAAACATCAAATGCATACAACACCGAAGAGAGACTAGCAAACTTTGCTCACTCCTTAGAGATTTACTAGAGTTCTCCTAATTCCCAAAGCACTTCATACTACAGTGTATCCAGAAACAATTTATCACTGGCCTTTTTAAACCCAAATTAGGCCGATTTAGGCTAAAAACCATCGTAATTGGTCGGACAAGGGTTTTGAACCAGCATGCATGTACATTTACTGAGGCAAATCACGGCTGAAATCTACCAAGCGGAGGAGTGCCACGCGAAAGATGAGATTTTTGAAAGTTTTCCTCATGCTGAGTTACCGAAATTTGCGTGGGTTTCACTGGTAGGATTCTCAACAGTACACAGTGAAAAAATGGAAACTCTGCGATCGAGAAAAAATGAAATGGCTGGAGAAGGATGAAATTGCACGCATTTCACGCAGTTTTCGCTATTCCGCTGCTCTCCAGCGCTGGAGATATGGTGTCTTGGCCGTTATGTGTTTTTTTGAAAACGGTTGTGTTGAACTCTAAGCTGGTGTTTTTGAGCTAGTGCTTGTTGTCCGAAGATGGAATATTGAATACAGTCTGATTGGAGAAGTCATTGATTTGTTCAGTAACATATGGTCCTTCGAGCCGGATCGACATGGCTGCGCCAAGAAGAAGTTCGCGATCCAACCAAGGTGTCTTGCCTGTACGGTTTCAGGACGAGGGAAATGAACCCGCAAGTCGTCTGAGCCCAGGAAGCCTGTCGGACGTGGACTCCGTGTCTGAAAGCAGTGTGTCAACCAGAGCCAGTGTTGTTGGCAGTAGTATCAGCTCGTCTGCGTCGTCGTTGCGACGAGCAAGTGTTGTACAGGCAGAGCTGAGAATGGCTCGCATGGAGCGAGCCTTCTTGGAGCAAAAAATGGAGCAAGAGAGAAGGATATTTCGTCTGGAAATGGAGGCTGCGCAGGTCTCTCTCTCATCGACATCGCGGTCGAGCTCACCAGTCGATGAAAGTTCGGGATTGACATTCAAAACATGTGTCACCGGGCTTCCCAAGCAACCTCAAGCTCCGCTGGATAGTGCAGCTATGGAAGCTGTTGAACTACAGGGGAGTGATGTGCTAGTAGAGCAGCACGTAGAGGAAGAAGTGCTTGTCGTTGAAGAACATGCAGCCAACGGAGCTGATGAAGTGAAAAACGACGAGAAAAAAGTAGTTGTTGAAAGCCGTGTGCAGTCACTGCAGTGTGCTCAAGATCGAGTTCCGCTGTGTTGCACAAAGGGGACAGGGAACGTGTTCGTGATCCAGCTGAGACCAGTGCAAGTCGGAGTGCAGACAAGAGCACGGAGCTGACCACAGGAGTGACAGGTTCAAGTGTCCGTGACAGCAGGCATGCACCCAACACTGTGCAAGCTGCATTCAAGTCTAGGTCCAAGCCTGCCAGCTCACACAAACCTGTAAGGGAGGCTGCCGCTGCACGTGGTGCATACTTTGAGTTTGAGACTCCTACTGCTAGGGCTGCTGATCCCGGACTGCAGGCTCCTTCTGCCAACCAGTGTGCCAGTGCTAGGAGAGTGCAAGACTGGGTTGACAGAGTGCAGGTACCAGTACCAGCAGGAATAAATCAACATCAGGTCAAGCCTCTGGAGTTGCCCAGATTTGATGGCATGCAGAGGAGCTACGTAAGATGGCGCCAGAGATTTATGAGACTGGCGGATGATGACTACTCCGTGTCCGAGGATTATAAGATGGCTCGCTTACGAGAGGCGCTAGATGGTGGCAAGGCCGAGGAACTGATATGCGAGGTGCTGGATGGGCCTGGTGCATATAGAGCGGCCTTGGAGGAGTTGGAAGCTTGGTACGGAAGCAGTGAGCGCGAGCTAGAACGTCAGCAGACGGAACTCATGAGTCTGCCCAGAATTGTCATGGAGAAAGACACTGAGTCGCTGCAAAAGCTCGCTGTCAAGCTCCGCAATGTCATTGTGAACATGTCAACTGCTGGAATGCAGCCAGGCAGGGAGCTGTATATAGCGGTCACACAGAAGTTGCCACGTGGCATGCTGTCACGCTACATGGATTGCCATGACGACAACAGGAGCAATGCCCAGGAGTTGTCACAATGGCTGATGAGACGGGTGAATCAGTCGAGGCACGTTGATGCACGCCTCTCAACTGGCGGTGATCAGCAGCCTGGAAAGGTCTCCACAAGAGGAAGACACTTAAAAGTGTCTTCCTCTTGTGGAGACCTTTCCAGGAAGCCCACGCGTGTGAAGGTTGGGTGAGTAAAAATGTTCGGTTAACGTAGGAGTTAACCGTTGTTAACAGTCACGTACCATTGCTTCGCTGTTGGCCTTTATAACGGGTTGCATAACCCTCCTTACGTGTGTGCACGATCTTGCTCTCTCTACATACTGCTGTGTATCATAGGCATCACATGCCCACGCTCTGCGCATGCGCAGATTTCCTGTGCGCGCAACAGAGCTTGCTGTCTTTCCAGTTTCCTTGCCTGCAGTCAGCTTTCAAATTCTGACCCACCCTCCTCATCCCATTTCTTACTCTTACACTCCACTCCACATATTTTGAAACACACGGATCCGGGCAGTCCACCGTAACTGGCCTCTCGCGCACTACTATTAAACTCGCATGGGTCATAAACCGCTCCTGCTCAACGCAGGCCGACCCACCAACTCGCATGGGTCACAAACGGTGAAACCGCTCCTGCTCAGCGCAGGCCGACCCACTTGGTCATATACAGCTCCTGCCCTCGGTAGGCCGACCACACGATTCATTAACGCGCACTCAATTGAGGCCAGCTACTCTGCCCGACATTCCCATTCTTCCAAACTCACTCTCTTGTCTTTTGGTGTGTCGCGTCCTGCACGCGTGTGTGTCTACTCTATACTCTAGCATGGAGAGAAGAATGTTAACTGAAGTTACGTTCCAAAGAGCATGAAAATAATATGCAGAATTTTGAAATTTCCAAGCGGCTCTGATAGGGTTAAAAGGTAAATCTCCGCACTGCGAAAGTGCCTGCCTAAAGGGATATCTCCACACTGCGTAAGTGCCTGCCTGAATGGATTTCTCCACAGCACATGGCTGGGGTGTTTCACTCACCCTTCACGTGGTTGTGAACGCAGTGCAGTCTGCAGGCTGGCAATAGCGTCTTGGGAATGCCCAGTGTCCAGTTGCAACGCACCCAGATGAGACCATGCAACGTGAGCTCTGCCGTCAAGACACAGATAGATACACGAACAGACACACAGATACACAGACAGACAGACAGACAGACAGACAGACAGACACACAGACACACACACACACACACACACACACACAAAGACACACACGCATAGCACACACAAATATCAGGTACAAATCCTTTAAGGTATGTTGCCCTGCAGGCATTGCGGTACATCAGTGTCTACTCTAATAATCACGGCGTTGTATTCCTAACCAACTTTGATGGTGCAGATACAGAAGGAAAGGTACATTGGAGATTGACTCCGATCATAGTGGTGCCATAAGCACTCCCTAGACCTATATGAAAGACTGCAGTGGTCATGAATGATGTGTAATTAATAGGGGTGAAACGATTAGTTCGAATATTCGAGTATTCGTTCGAAAATCTCAAACGAGCGAGTATTCGAAATTTTGCACTCGATCGTTTTTTTTTTTTTTTTTTTTTTTTTTTTTTTTTTTTTTTTTTAGTACTGGCATTCTATTTTTCAAAAACTCCTGTTGTACTGCTCATCGACTGGTATGCACGCATTATTCGTGCCTTTGAGTCAGTATTTTATGACTTGGACGATGCGATCACCACGGCAAGTAACGTCATTATTTTTGTTTTGAGATAATGAAAGTACTGGTGAAAATCGTTACTTTACCCTCTGTACAAGACGTTGGCGACTTTTGTTCTATGTTCACAGATAATTTCTTCCGAATTAGTCGAGAACTCACAAATCTAGCGCTTTTAAATTTCCATAAAATACTCGAAATAATCGGATACTCGATCGAATATTATGAATGAGTGATCGGTTGGTCAAAATAGATACTCGTTTCACCCCTAGTAATTAATTTAGTTTGCCGCAGGCGCAGCAGCAGCAGGAGAGAGAGAGAGAGAGAGAGAGAGAGAGAGAGAGAGAGAGAGAGAGAGAGAGAGAGAGAGAGAGAGAGAGAGAGAGAGAGAGAGAGGGGGGGGGGGAGGGAGGGAGGGTGTGAGGGAGGGAGAGAGGGAGGGGGAGAGAGAGAGAGAGATGGGCTCTCATCCCTGGCCAATAGCCATGTCGCAGTGCTTTTAGCTAAAGCTTACTGGCTGGACGGCATACTGATAGTAAGCTTCTGGTACAGCTCCATGGCTTCACTCTGCAAACGACAGCAAGAAGCAATGAGTTGTGAAACAAGCACATATTGAACGCAACTGGGGATGCACTGACATGTTGAACAGCCACAGACTTCCCAGCCAGGCAGGTCGTGTTGCGGATACAGTAACGAGTCAGCCCACTCGAGATGGTGTTCTTCTGTGAAAACCCTGTGAGAGGGGTCTAACACAGACCTGCTCAACACAGACTGGCTCAACACAGGCCTGCTTAACACCGCCAAGAAGAGTCATGACCAGTTCAGAAAAGCAGTAGATAGGATTCGCCACTTGTCTTTATTGGGATACGTAACAGGTACAAGGTGTGAGACGAGAGTGACTCACCAGATTGCCCTGCTGCTGCAGGCATTCTCCCAGCCGTATCACCGCCTTCAGGTTGCCGCTGTTCAGGTCAACAGCTTTCTGAAAGCATCGCTGTGCTTTGCTAGTGAGAGGTAGGAGGAAACAAGACAACAAAAACACAGAAGTACTTCAATAGGGGGAATATACTATAGCAGAATAGGGAACAAACGGCTACTTCTTGAAGGAAGTGCCACTGTAAGAAACTTCACATCCCTTCACATAGCAGTTGTAAGCACGTACACTCATATCTTGTTTATCCGGGCGGTTCGGGACCGGGCACTGCCTGTAACTTTGTGAAATGCCGGTAACTCCGAATCACATACATTTTGATGGTGACAGGCCATAGATATCATACGGCATGTGACGTCACTATTTCCACAAAAAGTGACAAAAGAGTGGTAATATTTCCACTGAAACTCGCCCAAAGGGTGCCCGATAGACTGAAACGCCCGTAACTTCGGGGTCTGGTTAACCGAGGCAGGAGTGTACAACATACATACAGATATATGTGCCTTGTAGCGCACACACTGACCCAGGCAACACACAAACAGTGCTCCATGCACGCATGCACCCATGTACACGTATCACCAACATACCTGGTATTCTTCTCCAGGTCGGCAAAGAATACACCAATCTCGTAGAAAGGTCTGCTGTCTTGTGGGTCCAGCTTGGCAGCCTGGAACATTCACACAAATAACAAGGAAAAGGCAAAGCACGCTTCTCAAATACTAGTATTGATCGCTCTGACAGAACGGCTGAACCCATCCACAGGACTGCTAGAATCATGCAGAACTAGCCGTCCATCACCGAACGGTGTCTGCCCCGAAGGGTTCAGATAATCAATGCTCTACTGTACACATCCACGCATAAAGATCATTTTAAGTTCTACACCGTACCTGCATGAAGTGAGCGCTAGCCAGAGATTTCTTCTCGATCTCATGGCACTGCCACAGGATGCGTCCAAGCTGGAGGTGGTATTCAGATATCGTTGGGCACAGGTCAATTGCCTCTGAAATACTGCAGTTCGGAATGGACAACAGAAAGAGTACAGACAGTCTGAAACAAGGTGCAGTGTAGCATTACACAGCATGCTGGCAGCATACATGTACTAAATAAATGTTTAACTCGGATGGAGAGCCAAGGATTAAAATTAAAAAAAGAGGACCAAAAATTTACAAGTTATCCGTTTTTTGTTGCACATTTTTGACTCAACAGTATTCTGCTTTTAAAAACCGTTAGTGTTGGACAAAACGGAAAACTTGTAAATTTTGGTCCTCTTTTTTAAATAAATGTTAGTCACTGTCTGACCAGTTTGAGTGCGAGGGCTTTGGAGCATTGCTGAAAATCAGCCAGTGTTTGTAAAGTACATGTATAGAAAAGCAAAGGAGTGAAGATGATCACTCAAACCAAACTGGGACTAAAGCTGCAGCATGGTGCTCATGTCAGGGAGATATGGCTGAAGATAAAGAAGCAGTATTGATAACATGATGAAAAACACGCACACGGACACGCACGCACCCCCCCCCCCCCCTCCCACGCACCCCCCCCCCCTCCCACACACACACGCACGCCAGACACGCACACGCGCACACATACACACACGTGCCAGACACGCACACGCACACACACGCGCGCGCGCACACACACACAGACAGACACCCACGCACACACACACACACACACACACACACACACACACACACACACACATGCACACACAGACACATGCACACCCACACACAAACACACACACACACACACACACATTGGTGTCCAGTGTCCTATCCTCACTGTACCTCTCCTCTGCCGATCTCAGATGTTCCTGTGCTGCCTCGGTACATGCCTGGATGCACAGTGCACGGTGGTTGCTGCGGTCCTGCCGTAGCAGAGTGTCACTGATATCCGCAGCCTGCGTCACGTCTCCATTCAGCATGTATGCTTGGGCTAGAAGAAGCTCAACATCCGCACCAGTACAGCCCTGCTTACAGAGCTAACAGCAAGGAAAGACGAGAGAAAAGACGACAAAAAAGAGAAGAAGATCAAAGTCAGCAAAGTGGAGTGGAGCATTTAGGAAACGCCAGGGATAGACTCATGTGAATCCCTTGTTATAAACTCTTGCTCCACACATCAAGAGCCATAGTGGGCAGTAAACTCTTGCTCCGCACATCAAGAGCCATAGCCATAGTGGGCATCGACTGGGCACACGTCATAACTAAAGAAACACAATTTCTATGTGAAAAGCAAACGAGAAGATATTTAAGTTGATGAATTAAAAGGAGGGTGCGGATTGTGAAACACATCAGTCCATAGTCATGTACAATACTACACTGCATAGGCAAACTGGTAGCTTCTCCTTGAAAACCCTGATCTGTTTCCGTTCACCTTGCCGTAACTGCCACACGTACCGGTATATGATCAGTGGAACGAAGTGTGTAACATCAAAACACAACACATTCACACACGCATGCATGCATGCATGCGTGCACACACGCACGCATGCATGCACACACGCACATGCAATTGACATTGACCAAGTCACAATAATTATAATAATATATGACCGTCTGAACTGGAGTAGAAAGTGGCGACAAACTGACCTCCATGCAGATGCTGATGGCCTCTTCGTACTTCTCTTCATCTTCGCTTAGCAAGCCTTTGACATTGCAGAATCTAAAGCAGCATGCCATGCGGTACACACCCACACACACATACACACATACACACACACACACACACACACACACACATGTTAGCATCCGCATACCGGTTCCCTGGCCATGTCCTGAGGGGTGGTACGGGCTCCCAAGGTCGGAAACAGGACCGCTCACTACCATGTGTGCAATTTCAGCATAATAGGAGGCTACACCCCTACAGAACTACACATCATGCCTGATTGTTTTACATGCACACTCCGCTGTCTCCAGATATCCAGCTAACACAGCAATTTAGGAGTAGCAATATGCAAGTACTCACTGCAGAGCGATCTTCATCCTTGAGGGACTGAGCAGATATTCCCTAGTCTGCGGTGTGTCAAGATTACACAAGCCTACAAGAGAGGGGGAGAGGGAGGGAGCACACACAATAGGATTGAATGCACGATCACCACAGTGACAATCTAGGCAGCAACAGGGGAAAAGCTGAAGTCATAGACACAGATATAAACATTTCTACGTGTATCTTGAACAGAAAATGAACCAGTTATCGCCGTGTAGCAGGGGAGAAGCACCGGTACACCATGGCTGTGAGAACTACAGTAAAAACTGTCATGGCGATCACTCGGATAAGGCGACCACCTGTCCCACAAGATCAATGCAACCAGGACCAAGGGGTGCGCTATTTCCAGTCAAATGCCCTGGAAAAGGAGCCCACCTGGTGACAGAGACCACATTTTGAAGGTCCCTTCAGCGGTCGTCTTGGACAGGTTTCACCGTACTCCATAACAGTACATGCAAGTTACAAGTTCCAAAAGGGAAGTATTGCTTAGTTGGTCTAATGAATATCATGCAGAGGATTGAGACAATAGCTCGATCACAACCGATACAACACAGGCGCTAGCGTTTCAAGGAGAATTGCTTGCCAGCGCTGAAAATGCCTCACCTTGTCTGGCTGAGTGGCACGCGTCGTTGTAAGCATGCAGGCGCAAGAGAAGGCTACCTGACATGAGCCATGCCAGAGGACAACTTGAGCGCAGTAGCAATCCTGGGGAAAGGACCAAGAGAGATAGAATTGCTGAGAGCTTGATTGCACGCACAATACAGCATGCCATACCAGCCAACGTCAAGCCAGAAGACTCGTAAACAACACAAAAGATTGTCGAATCACATACTGTAAATATACAAAATTTCGGCGCTACAAAATTTCGGCACTTCACGATTTTTGACATTTCGGCAGCGATTTATTTTCGGCGTGGGGTAGAGGGCATGGTATAGTGCGACAGATGCTGTGAAACATTTCATCGGCGTTTTAATTTAGGCGTTTTGGATCCGTGCCGAATATAGCCGAAATTAAGTAGCTGCCGAAAATTTGTATATTTACAGTACCATGAGCAAGGCGTGATTCTGTAGAAGTTACACAGATAAGGCACCAGGACAGACTCAGTGGGATACGAAAGAAAAAAAGAGGGAGTGTGATCCATGGCCAAGTTCAACCTGAGTAACCGGTGCCTTGTAACAAAGCATAACAGCGAGACCTGGGACGCACCTCTCTCCATAGCTTCTCTGGCTTCTTGAAGCTGATTCTGCATAACACAGTTGTGTGCAATGACAAACTGCAGCACTGCACTGTCCTCAGCCAGTGCAGCTAGTTCGTCTCGAATTGCACTGCACTCCTCAGCCATTGGCTGCTCATACACTGAGTACGGAAGAGGAAACAACACCAGAAAACCAGTTGAAAAATCAGAACATGAAGGCTGCAGAGTTGAAGATCTGCAAAAGGACTCGGGCTGTTCAGCGAGGTAATCTTGAATGTGAACATGCCGAGTATTACTGACGACAAATTTCCCGCCCAGTGAAAAAAACTAATGCTCAAAGCATGCAGACTACAGGGACAGAACGCGAGTCAACAGTCAATCCACGTGAGCACGTACTTGGTCAACAAAATCTTCAGAGTGAAAGCCCCCTGCAGGTCACAAAGTTCCAACAACAAAACACTTTGCTTACCATAAACTTGCACCAGTTGGAGTAAGCAGAGGAGTTCCCTGCAGAAGGTGTCATCGTGGTGAACCTGACGCATTTCTTGACACTCGGTGACGATTGACTGCTCAATCACCACTCTGTGCTCATTGATTTCATCATCATCACTGATCTAGATAACACAAAAAAACCAGTATTACATAGGTAAAATGTCAACATCCAACTAATTCACAGGCTAATAAAAAAAAGTCTGAATGAATAAATGAATAATTATAAGCAAGAGTCCATAAACAAGAGTATGCAACTGTGATCTCTTTTCTATGGGCCAGATGCGTGGCGCGCTGCCTTCATTACATCATTCAGCTGCAGTCCGCGCACTGCGGAGAATCAAACACCGCACTTTCCCTCCAGTTTGAAATGAACTTTCGTACGGAACTGGAGTTCACGCACCAGAATTCAGAGATTGTGTAGGTACTGGAACGAATCGAGCAAAAACAGATGGGCTCGTGCGAGAAATTGAGAGTTTGAATACATGCTTTCAGAGCGTGATGAAGGCAAGTTACGTAATGAAGGCAGCGCGCCGCGCACTGACCCATAACCACAGTTGCATACTCTTGTTTATGCACTCTTGTTATAAGTAAATGAATGAATGAATACGTTTAGGGTGATTGCAATCATTTCTCTGCTGGCCACACACACACACACACACACACACACACACACACACACACACACACACACACACACACACACACACACACACACACACACACACACACACCTTGACAGGCTTCTACAACTGGGCTACCATTTCAACATCAACAATATTCCAAGGTGGAACAAAATTTATCGCAACTCCGAGTTTCACGCTTGCACGATCATCAGGCAAACAAATATTATTCTAACAACATTCTAATTATGTGATTCTGGCACTACTCAAACCTAGTATTACATCACACGGTGTGAAGATGTAGCTTTTACTGGCCAGTAATAACTTTCCAAGAAACACAGACCAGACTATGGACACACAGGAACACAAGGACAACAACAACAACAACACGACATACCTGCAGCACTCGGAACAGGTACAATATGAAGCTCTTCGCTGCATTCGCATCCCCAAGCCTGGCTGAGCGTAGCTGCAGAGTACGCGGGGAAGTATGCACATAATTATACCGTGTATGTCCGAGAAACATGATCTGAACACTTGTAATAGGATACTGCATTGCACTATAGAGATTATCCGATGTCATCGTTTGGGGTGTTTTATATGGAGTGGCACAACAAGTGCACATTTGCCACTCCATGGAACGTAGAGGATGATGTCATTCGCATGCCCTTCATAACCATTAGTGGGGTAAGCCAAGCTATGAATGTGCTACTTATTGTGGGCTTGTTCACAGCTTGCTGCAGCAATAGACAGGACGCACAATGATGAAGTGTGTGCAGAGGGCGTAACACCTGCAAAAGGGTGCTGCACTGCTTCTAGATCTGCAAAGCACCAAAAATCTCTTGAAAGCACCATTTCGTCCAGAAAATGTGTACGGATGATATCACAGTGGCATTGTGAACGCGACCTATAGCTGTCATGCCAAACAATAAGCTAGCATGCCAAGCATATACATAATGGGTACTGCAGCAGTGAGCACCTATGAATAGCAGGTGGTATCACCAGACTTAATGAACAAGCACAATATGCAGATCCACATGTCACTCCTTCGAGAACATCTTCTTGAACAGTAGAATAGAGGGTTAAATTGCTTAGTATAGAGCAATGACCATTGTCTCCTTTAGTTGACATACCTGATCGATATACTCGTATTCCACGGACAACTGCAGGAACATTCAAAGGAAATACAGCCATGAAAGGTCATGCAGCACCCGAAATCTAGAGAATGTCCGGATGATGGATACACTTATTTGAATAATTTCTAGTGTCAGTGAGCAAAGGGTTAGGGTAGAACTGAAAGCTCTTTCCAGTATGTGATGTCTAAAAAGGGGCATGCACAAATCCCTCAGAAAGCACAGTTCACACATGTATGCATGCACGAAAGACTGCAGATTGCGTGCATACAGATACACAGACACACACACACGAGCGCATGCACACGCACGGACGTACCTGACTTGTGATGACACTCGACACTTTCTGGCACAGAACCGGACGCTTTGCATCCACCACCTCGGCTGGCAAATCTGCCATCCTCTCCAATGCTGCTTGCCATGCGGCTAAGGCCTGCAGTGGTTGTTCTCGTTGTAACCAGGCATCACCATGTTTCACAGAGAAGTCACAAAACTTGCCAGGATCCTTGCTGCAATGGTCATAATGTCAAACCAATACAAGGAAAGGAGCAGTGTTTATTAGAGCTCTACAAACTTTCTCAACCACCTTGACCTGGGAGATAAAAAGACAAAATCAATGGTGATGTACTACAAGCTACAACCAAAGCCTATTGAAAAAGAAGAAAAAAGAAACGTCCTCCCCGGCCGGGAATCGAACCCGGGTCTTCCGCGTGACAGGCGGAGATACTTACCACTATACTACCGAGGATTGACTGACATCCACCACTCACATTAGGGTTGATATCGGCTTCAAATTATTGCATGTGAGATCGAAGAAATGGTGCTATGGCTGCAGAGCACATGCACAGTGTTCGCAGGGGCTACGACTGGGCAGCGCCGGAAGTAATTCACTCACGAGGCTGGAGCTCATTGAGCAGCACTGTAGGTGCCAGCTTGGGTCGGGGTCTGGATAGGAAGGGGCATACAGCTTGGGTCGGGGTCTGGATAGGAAGGGGCATACAGTGACGGTGCCATGCATCAAACATCGACTGCACATGGCGTGCACCACAAACAGAGGACTGACATTTTGGTTTTACTCCAAAGAGAGTCTCAAGAAGAAGGCAAAGAACAACAACAATAATGCGTACAAATGCACGCATGCGCAACCTGCGCAGCCCGCGCAGGCACGGACAACAGAGAAATAGTCAGGGAGCCGACCTTGAAAAAAGTGGCGCTCCGTGTCGGGCGAGATGGAGTACAAGATCTCTTCAGCAATGGGTTATGGGTCTATCAGAGAAGGGCTTTCGAGTTCTTGGCCATCCCAAAGCTGTGCACGGACATCGCGGGGACGCATTTTGTTAGACGAGCAAATTCACAATTGTCAAGCATTTCGGCGCAAATATTTTCGTTCTCAGCCGCCTTCACCGTTTGAGAAGTAGGTGCGCACGCTCAAAACTTTCAAATTCATGATTATGCGCCAGTGCAAAAGATGACGACGCTGCACATGCGTCTCAATGCTTGAAACATTTTGTTTGAGCGCATGGAGCTCCGTGAGAAAAGCGCAACATGCACCATCGATCGCTCACAGTAATACTCACACGGACTCACTTCTGCTTCAGCTCGCACGGCGAAGTTTTTGTTTGTAATTTGTTGGCGAGATGGAGTCGAGCGAAAATTCGGGCGAAGGAGGCGACGTATTGCTCGCTGACACGTCCCTAACTGTCATTCCTGTCGATGTGGAGGAAGTGTCTGCGACTTGGGATGACTGCTTGTGCCACAGCTGCGCTCCCGGTGGCGATCCAGGACCCACTGTTGACTTCACACACTAAATGTTGGGACACTCTACTCGCTGCAGCCGCTGTCCGTGGGGATAAAACTTGGGAGCTGGTGAGTGCACACGGAGAGCAACCAAGAGGCTGGTACAGGTCGTCCCTCGTTAATACATAATCTCTGGGACTTGACAAATGTTATGTATTAACGGGGTTTATGTACTGAACGAAAGTGTACATAACTAATGTTACTTGCTTGTGTACCCGAAATTTTCACTTTTTTCAACTTTTCTGGGTATTTCTTGCTACCATGACGAGGGAGCGAGATATTCTTGATTCCCTCGATATAACATAAGAATTATGTTATAACGGTCACACAAGACTCACAGGCAGCGAAGATTCTACAGTTTACATGAAACATGCCCAGCCGCGCCTGTACAGTCACTCGAAAAAAACAAAGCTTTGTCGGTTTGTGATGTGCGCTCTCATTTCTGAGCTAATTGCGTCCACAAGTAGAAACTAGAACACGATGTGCCTCCACTCGAAGGCCAAAAGACCAACAAATTATGTACTTTTGAGGTAGGTGGCATGCGGGTACGGAGAAATGTTATGTACTAACGGGGTTTATGTACTAACGGATTATGTACTAAACAACAAAATTTGTATGGAAGTGACCACGTTTCGTCCGGGACTTGAGATTTCTTATGTACTAACGGGGTTTATGTACTAACCGGACTCGTATTAACGGGGGACGACCTGTACCGTGCTAAATGTTACAGCAATTACACGCACTGCAAGACACTGGCACGCATTAAAAAAACCGGAGAGAGCATGAGGCAGCCAGTTCTGGTAGCACATTTCAGAGTGACGACGGTGATGCTGGCGTACCATGCACGACATGAGCAAGCCCACGAAAGACTAGGTCTGTTGTGAGCAAGCTATCTAGCCAGCAGGCATGTTTGTTTTGCCTGAAACGACTGAGAAGACGGGGAAAGAGTGTGGAGTGCCTCAGTATGTGCGAAACATTCGAGGCAGGCGAGAACATCCTGACAGCGGCACAACACTGTACGCAGAGAGATCTACGAGAACGTGTATTACCGACAGTGCAGAAGGGCGGCCCAGACTGCATCGCTGCCGAGGTGCAGTACTATTTCACGTGCTACCGGGATTTTATTCGCGCGAAGCCAACCGCTAAGACTGGCCCGAACCCTTCACCGTATCAGGCCGCGTTTGAATATCTGGCCCAGGAGATTGCGGAACAGTTGGAAGACACCAACAAGATCTCTGCGCTCCCAATGGCTGACATCCGGAATCGATTAGTGCGGAAGCTGAAGGACATGGCTGTGGACTCTCCGGCGTACCGCACGGCCCACCTGAAGCAGCGTCTTCAACAGCACTTTGGTACATAGGTGCGATTTCTGCGGCCTCTACTAGGGCAATCAGCCTTGGAGCTCCTTGTCCGTGGACCCATTGAGCCTGAGCTGGCATCGAAGCTTCTGGACTGGAGGGTAGTATCCGCCACACACACACCACCAGAGTCCTCCTGGATTCCAATGACGATGAGGAAGAAACTTGCGGCAGTGAGGATGATCCTGGTGTGCTCAAATCAGTACCTGATGTTGCCACGGCCGGTTACATTCATGTTGCACTGGAACTACACCAGGCGATCAAAGGTATGAAACCCATCCTCCCGACGCTGCCAACGGCATCCAATCTGTCTAGCAAAACAGCGGAAGCATGTGTTCCCACCACCCTGCATAACTTCTTGTGTTGGCTGATTGGTGGGCCCACCATGCAAGACAAGTTTGTTGGCCCGCATGATAGGATAGTTCCGCCAGAGCACCTGATGGCTAAGTTGTCTGCAATTGCACAAGACATTGTGTACTGTACCAGCTCCGGGTGCATAGTGCCCCCAAAGCACATTGCCCTGCCCATGGCTGTACGGCAGTCGACACGGAGCAAACAGCTCATAATGTGCCTCAACCGTTTTGGCCATGGGGTGTCGCATGCCAAGCTGTCGGAGCTGGAAACTACCATAGCAGAGCAGACCCTAGCCCTGGAGAACAGTGTACCAGCAACCGTTGATCCACGTGGCTGTCCCATCTTTTTCAGCTGGGACAACAACGATATATGCGGGGAGACTTTGTCTGGAATTGGAACAACGCACTGTACAAATGGAATAGTCCTCCAGAAACGTACCACTCCTCATATGCCGTGTGCGCCGCCACAGCAGAATAGTGAAGCAACCAGAACACATCGCCGGCGGTCAATTGCAGCGCCGTAACCTGCTGAGCTAGAGAACATCGCTGGAGCTCGCAGCCAACTCCCCACGTGTGTGCCCAGTGACGAGGTAACTGCCGCCCATCGACACCACCTCTTGGCTATCTGATCTAGACCTGGCATGGTTCTTGTGCCGCAGCTCCTGTACCTACTCATCTTTGGGCCGCAACGAAGACTCTGCGCAAACTGTACCCGGATGGTCTGGATTTAATTCTCAACTGCAATCCACTGCGGGCAGGCCCCAACCAACCCATGTTATCGTCATGCATGAGCTGATTGTGAACAGCTCTTGGGTCCTCTTTTCTTCTTATAAATTAATCCTTGGCTCTCCACCCGACTCTAAGGCCAGACAAGTTTCACAATATAGATAACTTGAGATGTCATTTTGCCTCGCCCTGTAGGAGCTTGTGTTGATGCATGCGTCTTCAAACTAAGACTTAGAGTTACTTTGTTCAAAGGATGCACAGCACTGACGTCCTACTGTCACATAATTACTGGTTTGGTATCATGCAAATAATTCTCCCGTGATCTAGAACAGCTACCATGGTACGTGTTTGTATCAAAGACACGTACCTTAGCTGCTTTAACACACAACTCTCCGTCCAATAGTTGACTGGCATGAAATCGAATGTAGTGATGAGCAAAGTACTACTGGTGAAAACAATCGCCTCGATGGAGACTGACAGTGCTACGTGACCTGCCTGCCACCATCAGGGTGAATAAGCATGTCGCAGTCTACACTAACAGGAAGCTCCCAAGACCGCCTGTCCTCCTTGAAGTGAGCAATATAAAATAATTCAAACACTTCTATCGACAATGCTATTTTTTATGCTTCGGTTCGTCTTTCTCAATTTGAAAAATTTACCAAAATTCGGTCCTCAGCTTGAATAAATGTCTGCTTGCGTCATGGAAACGTGTTGATTTTGGCCATTTTCCACGCTCTAAACAGCGCAAAAATTGTGAAATCACCGGAACGAAATAGTGTTCGACGAGCGAACAAACCTCCTCGCAACATCGTTGGTGCACAGCCTCGCAACGGCCAAGTTCTCAAATCGTCCTCTAGAGACCCTTACCTACCTCTGTGCGAAGTTTCAAGTCCTCCCTCTGAAGTGGCATACCACGAAGAAAAAAAAAGGATCCTATAGATTTCAGCTCCCCGATTAAAACCTGTCAAGGCAATCACTCGGATAAGGCAACCACCTGTCCCAGAAGACCACCACAACCAGGTTTTGAAGGTTCCTTGAGCGGTCGTCTTAAACAGGCTTCACTGTATTCATTTTTCAACATTCAAACAAGAAAATTCTTTGCAGTGCACTGACATCAGCTCCAATGCTACTGGTACCGTGGATTCTAACACAACACACAGCAATATGAGAGTAGCTGAATAGTGAATACCTTTCGTTGATCCTGGCTAGTCGTTCGTAACACAGCGTCAGATCCTTGTAGTACTTGGGATCTTTTTGCTTGACACAGAAGTCAGCCAGGCCCTGCAACGTACACAGCACACAGCACAACCAGGCTAATGAGACACCACTACATTATAATACCTGGAGACTTTCTTTACAAAGTTACAACGCATTCGTTGAAACTCCTAGCATACAAGCACGCACAACGATGAGATTCCAAGGTACTATGTATCGGAACATAAAGGGGAAGTTAAGGCAAAAATTAAAATTTCACCAGTTGTAGTCTTCGGGGTGCTGAGTCGAATGGTCTTGGTCCGAGAAAGCTGAGACGCTCCCTTCCTACTTGAATCCCAATCGAACTCGCGCACTTCCACCGAAACTGGGTGACTGCGCCCTACTAGATGGGGATTTGTATGCAAAATCTCACTAAAAGCGCCATTTCGTTCTTATAAAAGCACGGATGACCGCGATTGGCCCATATGTTGTAGTCTTTTGGACGCTGAGTCGACTGGTTTTGGTCCGAAAAGGCTGCCATGCAGCGTTCCTCCTTTATTCCCAATCGAACATGGTTGAACAAGTGGTCACGTGCTCCTGGGTGCCCAAATCACCTGGTCACCACGCCAGCAGGCGACAACTTTCACACCAAGGTTCAACTCGAGTGACAGGACTGCACCCAAAAAAGGTCAAACAGGCTAGTAAGTTGTACCCTGCAGGCACGGTGACCAGGTGACTGGTGTACGCAGGAGCACGTGACCGCTTGTTCAACCATGTTCGATTGGGAATAAAGGAGGAACGCTGCATGGCAGCCTTTTCGGACCAAAACCAGTCGACTCAGCGTCCAAAAGACTACAACATATGGGCCAATCGCGGTCATCCGTGCTTTTATAAGAACGAAATGGCGCTTTTAGTGACATTTTGCATACAAATCCCCATCTAGTAGGGCGCAGTCACCCAGTTTCGGTGGAAGTGCGCGAGTTCGATTGGGATTCAAGTAGGAAGGGAGCGTCTCAGCTTTCTCGGACCAAGACCATTCGACTCAGCACCCCGAAGACTACAACTGGTGAAATTTTAATTTTTGCCTTAACTTCCACTTTAATTCGGAAGGGTGCAGGTGCATGAGAACCACTCCAACAGCGCTGTTCAATGAAATCCGATCAAGCGGGCCAATGCCACGCCGGGCGCTGTGCAGCCCTACACCTGCGAACGCTGGGATGTGAACTGGTGCAGGGTGCAAACTTGACTGACATGATCGTATTTCATTGAGCTGCACTGTGGAGGGAGAAAAGACTCACCTGCCATGCCAGGGGTAGTTCTGGATTGGAATTTGTTGCCTTGGTGAAGGCTGCATACGCCTGATCCAGCTGCTGCAGTTCGGAAGTAGCTACACCGATGAATATCAATGCCATGTAATTGTTCTTATCCGCCCGCAGCACCACCTGTGGAGTAGCAAACACAACACACGACGTTAGGCATATACTTACCGTAAAGTCGCGGATAAAAGCCGGGCTTATAAGCATATAAGCCGCTTTCTGCATCAGGCTTCAATGCAAACCAGGCTTGTATGCAAACCATGCTTATATGCACCACTGATATTTTTGCCAGGCTTGTATGCACATCGCGATATCGGCCGATCCGGGCTTGCATAGAAGCCAGGCTTCTAAGCCAGGCTTCTACGCGCGACACGCGTAGATCTAGGTAGCACTGACTACCCGTACGGCGGCAGTTTTACTATGCACTAGCACTGTACATAGTGCATGCACTCTTGACCTACCCGATCCGCGCTTGCAAAGAAGCCAGGCTTCTACGCGCGACAGGCTTATATGCATTTGACCCGTTTGATTTTCAGGCTTCTATCCGCGATGTGCTTGTATGCAAACCCGGCTTTTATCCGCGACTTTACGATATATACAGTTGCTGTGTGATGATCGGTTAAAACCGTGAAACTCAGAGTTACAGCAGAAACGCTTTTGATTCCTCTCAAGTGTGTGTACATATATATGCGGGCAGCGTGCCACGCCAGACCCTATATTATGCAGAGTTGCATACTCTTGGGACTACGTACTCTTGATACTACCCCTACATCCACAAAGTGATGTTCAGATATTCAATGTCTACTATTTCCACTATCTCAATGTCTACTCCTTTTGCTTGCAAGTGGAGCAAGACATAGTGTACCTACTTACAAACTTTACTCTTTTTTTTAAACTTTTGATTCCTCTCAAGTGTGTGTACTAGGCTCTGCACCTTGGTGTATTGAGCACTGTCATGAGCAATCACAACTCCCTCCGAGTTTATTTACAAAGTCATGTAACAAGTAACAACCCAGGCCATCCAAAACTGGACCAAAAACAACCCAGGCCATCCAAAACTGGACCAAAAACAACCCAGGCCATCCAAAACTGGACCAAAAGGCAATCGGAAATCCACAAGACTACATGCCAGTGAGACAACAAAAAATGCATGTGGCGTACAAAATGCAGCCCTTTGAGGCTTTGTGCGGTAATAGGATCATCGAGGCTCGCGGAAAATCAAGGTAGAGCTGAGCTTATGGAAACTTCGGAATGTAGCTGGCAAAGACTCACTACTACTAAAGGGCCTGGAGTTTGTTCTACGGGCCTTATGCACGTTGTACAGATGTACACAGTTCTGTACTGGGGTCGTAGGTGTGTACCTGCCTGTTGGGTGTTCATTGTGTGCTAGTGCTATACATGTGCATTTGACCAATTTAGGCCAATTATCAATGGCAGACAATCGCTTTTCCAGCCCCATCACTTTACATGGAACTAATTAGATCTTTGTCTGGAAAAGGTTTTCGTATAAAACGCCTTCAGGGCCTGTTTCTTCGTGGAAATAGCTGTAAAACACAATATTATGGTCCTGCACATTTAACAACCAAACCGGGTATACGGGATTCTACGCGGTTGTACGAGATTTCGTGCATCTGTACAACGTCAAGAGTAGATAAACAAGAGTGTGCAACTCCGGGATGGGTTGGCCCATGGCGGAATTTTTGTTGACGTAATCTTTTCTACGACGCACGGGCTGCGAGTCTTTTGGAAAGTTTTGCCTCGTGCACACGGCCGACTTCACATTACAAGGTCGGTGTCCAGCACGTGCTCTCACACTGTTTCGTATAAAACGCCTTCAGGGCCTGTTTCTCCGTGGAAATAGCTGTAAAACACAATATTATGGTCCTGCACATTTAACAACCAAACCGGGTATACGGGATTCTACGCGGTTGTACGAGATTTCGTGCATCTGTACAACGTCAAGAGTAGATAAACAAGAGTGTGCAACTCCGGGATGGGTTGGCCCATGGCGGAATTTTTGTTGACGTAATCTTTTCTACGACGCACGGGCTGCGAGTCTTTTGGAAAGGTTTGCCTCGTGCACACGGCCGGCTTCACATTACAAGGTCGGTGTCCAGCACGTGCTCTCACACTGCTCTGCGGCAAAATGCACGTTTTTCTGAAAAAAGGTGACGTCAACAAAAAAAACCCACCGCGGGCAGGGATATCTCCAGGTTGTGCAGAAGAGATGCGGAGATGCACACTCTTGTTTATCTACTCTTGACAACGTGCATAAGGCGTATTTCTCAGTCCGATTGCATTTCGTCTAGAAAACTATCGAACTTCTTAGCTCAGGAAAAGATGGGTATTCCTCTAAATTGCTACGTTAAAAACATACTCACTGGTTTGAGGGAAAGACATTAAAAACATACCATATTATTATTTGTGAGAATCAAAGACTCACATGGCAATAGAACAAAATTATGAGAATGGCACAAAACGTTACAGCAGCCCACAAAATGATGGCTTTCCATTGGTCATTTACTGCCAAGGAGCTACTATATGTACTTGCATTGACCCTGAGTAAATCTTCCGGGTACAGAAACTAGAAAAGAAAAAAGGCTTAGATTTTTTCATAGAAAAACACACCTTGCAGTGTTTCAGGACATCCTGGTATTCTTTCTTATCAAGGGCCTCCCGGGCAGCCTTCAAGGCAGCCTTTACCTCCTTGCTCGCCATGCTCTGTTAGACCAGCCACAAAGAATCACTGGAGAGATCGCATAGTGAACAGGCAACAAGCTAGTCTGAAAGATGCACAGCAGGTCAGATCATGTTCGACCAATCTTCCCAACGTATGCATGCAGCTTGCTTTCTTTTCGTTTTTGCCTGTTTGAATATCTTTGAGGCACGTTCAAAAAAAGAAGGGGAACCCCCCGGCATGTGCACAGTACAGCGCGTACAGCGTGTACATGAAAGTTTAGTAGACTTTACTGACTCCAGTGGACCGTATGCGTGTTAAAACAAAATGGCGTCACGATTTATTGAAAGTGGTATAGTTGGTGGAACGAGTGTTCAAACCCATTTGAACTTCATACTGTTCGTCTTCTTTTTGACATGCTCTCTTTCCATCGTCCTTAGCTTTTGTTTGTTGAGAGCTGTTTTGGCTTTCTCCTATACCTCTGGGGGATGCCAAGTGATGGTTTTGAGAGGCTGGTGATGGCTGTGAGCGAGAGTTTGCCGATCGGCGTCGTCCTCGCTATAGCGATGAAAATACTAGTTACTGCGCACCTGGCAGATATCACAACACGTCGGAGCGTCCAGGAGCAAAGGAATCTTGGGTTTTCACTGGAATCTAGTTCCACCAGCATCGTGTAGCCCACCGTCGGTGAATGGCGGTCCAGAAAGGTCGAAACTGGTCTTCTGCAGCATCTCGCAGTCCTGCGAGGCACACTGAATACGCCTGTCATGTATTCTACAAATAAAAATCACGAAGTAGTGGACTTTACAGTGATGAGTCTATCCTGTATGCTGCAAAAGACGCAGGAAATGTGACTGGTGTCCGTACACTGGACGCCAATATCATCCCAGTCTTCTCCTGCAGGATCTGTTTGACATTGACATACCGGTATGCAGTGGGTCGACATTGGCCTGGTTTGGCAGCTATCTGCCTGGGTGGATGTAGCAGGTTTGCATTGGCGCGTCGTCCAGTCCGACATTTTCTTGTAACTGTGGAGTACCGGCAGGGTCTGAGAGGTTTCTCGTGCTGTGAACACATCTCTACTGCCTGTCTCGTCCTGGAAGTGCCGTCTCGCCGCTTCCTTGCTCTACAGTCACGCCGTTATTTCGCTTTGTTTCGTGGTGCAGCTCAAAACCTGCCCAAACAACTGTGAGCTCGCAACATGGTATGGACAAATTGCACCACTCATGCTGGTTAACTAAAACCGGGATAGTCGAGTAAGCGAGTTCACTCCCTGGGCCATGGCAAGATCTGTTCAGCGCGGGCTATTCCAACCTCCAATTGCATAGTCACCGATCGATCCATGCGATGGTGGTTGACCTACAAAGAGCCAAGGTCTACGAGTACTACTATTGGATGCTGTCTACATGCAGTCAACAAAATCAAAGTACCTCAGTATGCCCCAGAACAGGGCATGTGCATCTATAGCATGACACAACAGGGGTTCTGGCGGCACCTGTCAAACAAGCAGTAGCGACTAGTGCCAGCTACCTATTGGAGGCTAGCCGCTACAGTCTGTCACTGGAGATAATTATTATGTTCACTGTTTAGACTGAGCACAATCAATGATGCCCAATCAATCTGCCCAATGTGTGTTCTGTTCCACCTAATTATAACGTCCCATCGCATCAACCCTACTACACGCACATGTCGTCACTCTAGCACGACTTGTGTTATTATTGTTTATTTTGATTCGCACGATAAATAGAGCACAAAAAAAGTTAACTTGACCGAAGGTTAAAGGCGACTGCAGATAGAGGAACACATCGAGGTACAGGTGCCGGCATCAATACAGTATCAGAGAGGTACGCAGAAAAAACTCTCGTAAGCCCAAGGGGAAGTGGTTGATGAGGGATGAATGTACTCTCCACGCTCGTCTACACTGTTCGTGGAAATGCACACATACATACAATAATATACAACATAGCAATAGCATGCACAGAACCGAACAATTTCATGTTCACACATGCAAGCACAGACCTGAACATTAGTACCAAAAGCCGATACAGACAATATCCCCATACACACAGACGCACACACACACAATGTCCCATGTATGCGCCCGTGGCGAGAAAAGCACGCAGATCTAAAAATGCACTGGATGTGAACCCACAGATTTTCTCTAATAGCAATGATAGCGGATCTGATTCTGAATGAAACACACACACAATACAATTATTGAATGCCCATCCGCAGATGATGGCAGGTCCTGAAAGAACAGGCAGTGTTCCAGTGATGGGGAACAGAACTTCGAGTGGCGAGTGAGGTATACACACACACGTGCGTGCGCGGGCACACACCAAAGTATGAAGAAATAGAATCGACATCGTAGTATTCATTGGTTGGGGAATGGAAAGGAAAATAAAACATTGCTATAGGTTATTGTTGTAAGGACACTGGGAGCACAACAGAAAGGTAAGCAACTTGCTTTGAAGCAAAGAAAGTTATTATTCCACGGATCTCAGAAGGAAGGAACGTTCCAGAATGCTGCACTGGCAACAGGCGGCCTGCATGTGCGCGGCCCCTGCAGTCGGTCCAGCTGCCGGCCTTGCAGTGCTGAAAAGAATGTGCAGTACAGCATGTCACATAGTATCGCAGCCTGGACAAATAGACGCTGGGAAGTCCTAGTTATGTGCTCACCTACACCACGATGCACCAATCTTCTGAGCTACTTTGGCAACAATTTTGTCCACTTGAGACTCCCATGGGCTGAGCCAGTTGTTGAGGGCTGCATCAAGGTGGACGGCAATGACCGCTGATGGCAAGGCAATCCATGACACACAGTCACTAGGGCATCGTCAACATGGCGCTAAGGCTGGATGAATAAAATCAACCTTTAGGCTGCCGCGGGATTGACAACGAGGCCGCTGTCTCGAAGCTAGTCAGTCAGCCTGGTCACCGCCGTTGACGAACCAGTCGCCACCGCCAGCAGTGGCGGTAGGTTGTGACAAGTATGGTGCAATATTGTCAGCAAATTCAGTACTCAGGATAAGATGAGTGACAAAGGGAACGTTGTGTTTGATAATATTGAAGTGAACAGGGATGATCACAAACCCTGCGCGTACTTCACCGTGAGTTACAAGAAAATTCGGGACTGGACGACGAGCAAACACCAACCTGCTACATCCAACCAGGCAGATACTATTACGATAGCTGCCAAACCAGGTCAATGCCGACCTACTGCATAATGTCAATGTCAAACAGATCCTGCAGGAGAAGACTGGGGTGTTGGCGTCCAGTCACTGAGTGTACAGACACCAGTCACATTTCCTGCGTCTTTTGCAGCATACAGGATAGACTCATCACTGTAAAGTCCACAACTTCGTGATTTTTATTTGTAGAATACATGACAGTCGTATTCAGTGTGCCTCGCAGGACTGCGAGATGCTGCAGAAGACCAGGTTCGACCTTTCTGGACCGCCATTCACCGACGGTGGGCTACACGATGCTGGAGGAACTAGATTCCAGTGAAAACCCAAGATTCCTTTGCTCCTGGACGCTCCGACGTGTTGTGATATCTGCCAGGTGCGCAGTAACTAGTATTTTCATCGCTATAGCGAGGACGACGCCGATCGGCAAACTCTCGCTCACAGCCATCACCAGCCTCTCAAAACCATCACTTGGCATCCCCCAGAGGTATAGGAGAAAGCCAAAACAGCTCTCAACAAACAAAAGCTAAGGACGATGGAAAGAGAGCATGTCAAAAAGAAGACGAACAGTATGAAGTTCAAATGGGTTTGAACACTCGTTCCACCAACTATACCACTTTCAATAAATCGTGACGCCATTTTGTTTTAACATGAATATCGCGGGTTCCCAGAGCTATTGTGGATACATGTACCAGTATCCAGGGAGCCCTACACCAGGGAGTCGTCAAATACCGTGGTATTTGACGACTCCCTGCCCTACACATGTGTAGGGCTCCCTGGTGGTATCATAAAACCAAGAGTCCATAAATTGCATAATTCCCAAGAGTATGCACCCCGGGGGTTATGATGGTTATGCTCTTGATAAAACCTGTCTACGATTATTACGCCATTTTGGTCTGCCAGTCTCTGAACAGCCGTTGCTCTGTAGGCAGTCGTCTGTTCACTGATGTCAGTCTTCTGTAGTCTTCGTCCGCAGTTCAGACGTCAATGCAATTATGCTATCATGCAACTAAACACTTACGTTCTACTGGTGCCTACAGAAAAGCGTGCATAACAAGTCAAGTAACCAAACAGGGAGGTACAGGGTAGAGGAAGCTTGAATAAAGTGCTCAATACATTGCACAAGTCAAGTTAGAGGCATGTGCACCCCCACCCCATGTACCATATACACCCTTACATGTACGCGGACGGTGACGCATCCGTCTGCACACACACACACACACACACACACACACACACACACACACACACACACACACACACACACACACACACACACACACACACACACACACACACACACACACACACACACACACACACACACACACACACACACACACACACACACACACACACACACACACACACACACACACACACACACACACACACACACACACACACACACACACACACACACACACACACACACACACACACACACACACACACACACACACACACACACACACACACACACACACACACACACACACACACACACACACACACACACACACACACACACACACACACACACACACACACACACACACACACACACACACACACACACACACACACACACACACACACACACACACACACACACACACACACACACACACACACACACACACACACACACACACACACACACACACACACACACACACACACACACACACACACACACACACACACACACACACACACACACACACACACACACACACACACACACACACACACACACACACACACACACACACACACACACACACACACACACACACACACACACACACACACACACACACACACACACACACACACACACACACACACACACACACACACACACACACACACACACACACACACACACACACACACACACACACACACACACACACACACACACACACACACACACACACACACACACACACACACACACACACACACACACACACACACACACACACACACACACACACACACACACACACACACACACACACACACACACACACACACACACACACACACACACACACACACACACACACACACACACACACACACACACACACACACACACACACACACACACACACACACACACACACACACACACACACACACACACACACACACACACACACACACACACACACACACACACACACACACACACACACACACACACACACACACACACACACACACACACACACACACACACACACACACACACACACACACACACACACACACACACACACACACACACACACACACACACACACACACACACACACACACACACACACACACACACACACACACACACACACACACACACACACACACACACACACACACACACACACACACACACACACACACACACACACACACACACACACACACACACACACACACACACACACACACACACACACACACACACACACACACACACACACACACACACACACACACACACACACACACACACACACACACACACACACACACACACACACACACACACACACACACACACACACACACACACACACACACACACACACACACACACACACACACACACACACACACACACACACACACACACACACACACACACACACACACACACACACACACACACACACACACACACACACACACACACACACACACACACACACACACACACACACACACACACACACACACACACACACACACACACACACACACACACACACACACACACACACACACACACACACACACACACACACACACACACACACACACACACACACACACACACACACACACACACACACACACACACACACACACACACACACACACACACACACACACACACACACACACACACACACACACACACACACACACACACACACACACACACACACACACACACACACACACACACACACACACACACACACACACACACACACACACACACACACACACACACACACACACACACACACACACACACACACACACACACACACACACACACACACACACACACACACACACACACACACACACACACACACACACACACACACACACACACACACACACACACACACACACACACACACACACACACACACACACACACACACACACACACACACACACACACACACACACACACACACACACACACACACACACACACACACACACACACACACACACACACACACACACACACACACACACACACACACACACACACACACACACACACACACACACACACACACACACACACACACACACACACACACACACACACACACACACACACACACACACACACACACACACACACACACACACACACACACACACACACACACACACACACACACACACACACACACACACACACACACACACACACACACACACACACACACACACACACACACACACACACACACACACACACACACACACACACACACTTGTACTTGTTGCTCACTGCCAAAACTGGTCACGTGGGTCTCCCCAGGAGAGGGGAGAGAGACTCAAAAGGAATCTTGGAAAGATGACTCAACTGGCTATTGAACCGCCCAACGGCCGACACCCCCTGAAATCCCCAAAACTCTGGGTGGACTTGAAAATGATCCCACTTATGGGCTCACCACACCTCAGTAAGTGGGTGAGGACAAGGTGCAGAAAAAGGATTGACGGCATCAGGGTATCCGTCCTGGGATCCAACTGCAGTTACCCCTGCCCCCAGTGAAGGTAATACTTGCTACTAGTGTGGGTGGCTAAATCAGAGTGGATCTGATCTAAGCGTCACTAGCATCATTGATTACACAAGAGACACACACACACACACACCACACACACACACACACACACACACACACACACACACACACATCTGTGCACGCCGGTGTATGTGCAACACTACGCGGTACCAAGACGGCATACTAGTAACCAAGAGTGTGAATACCGGTGATCCCTCAGCCCAAGGCGGAATCAATCATTCACATGCACCTTGCTGTTGGGCTCGCTGATGCTGAGTTCGAAGAGCGTATAAATAGCAGCAATGGTAGCCGAAGCAGTACAATGGACGCAGTGCACGGTATAATTATATCCATGCACATCAAGGGTACATAACCCCCAAGTGTGGGTTATGTACCCTTGACGCGCCCTGAGCCTGATGAACAGACATGCGACAAGCACTTTGATCAGACTTCTGCCAAAAATGACGCAATGCAACAACTCTGCTGAGACAAGCCTGTCGTATAGCTCAAGGTATAGGAGTTGCACACAGTCGGTTGTGTGCTCTTGGCAATAAACATACGCCAGGAAATAGGTTTGCATTCATAACAACTGAAATGCATTCAGAAGACAGTATTGGTAACCTCGGTAGTTTCACTGCGCATGTAGTATTCATTTCCTCTTTCCAGTGGCTACAGATCCAAACAGCATCAACAAAGAGTCAGAGTACCGGTGCTGTGTATACTTCACAACTGTAAAGAAGGTCCAACTCTAGTCTAAGTGAATAATCTAGTCCAGCTAGATTCCCCAGTACACTCGCTCCCTGGCTCACCTAGATCACCACACAAATTGCTTTAAGGGGGCTCTTCAGCATAATTGATTCGTATTTTCATACGTTGGAGGGAGTTGAAAGGCGGGGTTGGGTGATTTTTTATGTATAATAATTAATAATAAATTGTTCAACAGATGCTAGGCATGTTCTAAAAAGCAACATTTCCATGAGTAACCACTCACAAGACATCACATTCTACTATGATTCTAGACTCACTGACACAAGAAAATAAATCTCGACAAACAAACGAGTACAAGTGCCTGCCTGCAGCGAGGCAATACCGGAACTAGAAATCAAACCCAGAGAAATCAGTACAGCTGTCATCCCTCGCAAAAGAAACATGAACGGACATGACCAAATACACGCGGGAGAAAGGTGTGGAATGGGGCTGGTTTTCCTGATGCACGGAAGAGACACTCAAGTCTTGCTCGATGACACCTGTTTTCACGGAGAACGGCAAGCCGTGTCATTCCGGAAAGTAAAAATGAACAAACGAGTTAAAAAAAGAAGTAAAAACACATCTGACCTAAGACAACAACAAACAAAACTTGAACGGACTGGCACGTGTTTCGTGCTATCTATTGAGACTATAAAATCCACGGAGTGTGATATTTCAAGACAGCGTCTCCAATGGAAAGAGAGTTCAGACATCTCTCGTTTCATGATTCTACTTTTGGTACCGAACTCTCAAACGTCTGCAGTTTTAAAAGGTATGAAATCAGGGTTTGTTTTCAATACTTCAATGGATCTAGCCATCATCTGGAGGCAATCTACGAACACTATGGCACACAGATCAACCATATACTGGGCTGCATAGGCACAGTTCGCTTCCTTGAAACGGACATCACCATCGGAGAGCAACGCCACGATAAAATATGTCTCAACTCTTCAAGGTGAGGAGGTGATGCTGGCTGAGCATGCTAAAGTCTAGGGTAGCTGTCGCCGGGGCAAGAGTGTGCCCAAGCAGACTCCATGCTGCCCTACACTGCCAGCTGTAGTGCTTGAAGTAAATAGAGGGAGCTGTGCCAACCCTGACCACCATCGGGCCGCACAGTGTAAGCAAGCAATGCAAGTGAGCCAGCTCACATTGACAGTGACTACAGTGTTCTCTAAACTGAGTTCTTACTTGCGATAGAGACATTATACTGGATAGTTTCAATCGAAGCCAGTGCAAATCCTTACGTTGTCTTCTCTACACTGCGGAGAAGACTCAGAACAACAAGGAGTGGAATTGAGATGACTAATCTCTGTTTGGTTCATCATCAACACGACCAGTCGGCACGCTAGAACTAGCCGAGTCGACAGCTGCAGCACTAGCATCATCATCATCACCACCGGCAGCGGGGGCAGCAGCAGGTGCACCGTCCCCACCGCCATGTGCACTGGGCGCTGCTGCGGCTCGCTGGGGTGGCACGGAATGGCGGGCAGTGGCCATCACTTGTCCAATGGGAGCACACTCATCCACACGACGGCGTGGAAACGAGAAGAATGGAACCACCCAGAATCTGCATCCGCAGCGTGCACCTGCAGGGCAAATAGTAAACAAATGGAGAACATTTCCAGCTACTTTTCGTACGCTCTCATCCATGGTTCACTTTCAGTCTTGCGTAGTCATAGCTAGTCATCATCCATATCAAGAGTGTGCAGCTTCTGACTTTCTCTGCATACTGTAAAACCGGAAAGTCTAACGAGTCACAAAGTCTAACGTTTTAACGACCAATTTTTTTCGTTATTTGAAGAAACGTTATGGCCAGATGTCTGTGCATACAGATGGGCACCGGGTGGCCGGCCAGGTAGCCATCGCTAAACTTTCTGCACGTTGTCATGCCAAAATTACAAAAACGTTACACTTTTTGGTCGTTAAACTTTCTGGTTTTACAGTAGGTGTCTGTCACGGTGAAATTTCTGGATTACATCACCGTTAGAGTGAATATGTGACGGGATGTGGCATAGTGCGTACAATTGAGCTGCAGCAGTGCAGCAGGAGACCTGCAGCAGTGCAGCAGGAGACCTGCAGCAGTGCAGCAGGAGACCTGCAGCAGTGCAGCAGGAGGCTTGCTTGAATCCTGTGTGTACGCCCTACATGTACATCACTAAAACGATGCACTGCTGGAATTTTGCTGGGACAGTACGGCCATTCGAGCAGCACACTCTTGCTTTCATGTACTCTTGCCCATAGCATAACTTTATTGGCAAACACACCATATCACCGATAACAAAAACAAGAACAAAACAAACACTGCTGCACATTTCATGTTCCTGAACAAAAATCTAGCTCCAGCGTTCTTTTTAAAAGAAAAGAAAAACAAGGCAGAGTCCATGGTAAGGTGTAACAATGCCAACAGGACACAGAATTTCCCCATAGTGACCCTGTCTACAACACACACACAGGGGGGGGGGGGGGGGGGGGGGGCGGGCACCAACCTGCTGATGAATTCGCTCTACATGATAATAGCTCCCCCCCCCCCTGCCAACTTTGGTTGAATACTTGTCAGGCTATTTGTGTAAACTAGCATGATACCAGTGCAGCAATAACATTGTCAGCAGTATAAGATATTATCTTACCTGACCACTTGTAAGTGCCAAGGCGAGAGTTGCATTTGGGACAAGATAGCTGCAAGGCACACATGACAGAGGGTGAAAACAAGTTGTCACTCTAGAGGCTATACGAATGACACCATCACTGTTCACATGACACCATCACTGTTCACATGACATAATCGCATGAACGTGGCACTAGGTACAGATGCACCTGGCTCACCCCCAATCCTGGAGCAGACACTGCTTTTGTTGCATCAAATACGTAATACCACATGTTTTTAACGGATATAGTAGAAGTGCACAGCTGACCCCGGCTCACAATTTACTCACAGTTGACGAGTAAAGTATTACAGCGCACTAACCTTTCCTTCTTGCTCGCCCGCCTCCAGTGTTTTCTCCATCCAGTCCAGCGGCATGGTGTGAAGCGTCAGTTTACAAGCTTCGGCCTGGGCTGCTGCTACCTCTTTGGGATCCTTCCCATCCTATACAAGCCACACACGCCATAGCAGCAGCAGCAGCAGCAGCAATGTGAACGCCAATATAAAAGTTCACTCTACGGTTCCTGATTCCATACATCAGGTTCAGCTCGCCACGTGGGAAGAACTGTGGACTGCCAAATTGGGCCAATACTGCTGCCAGCAGGATGGGCCTCCAAAACTGAAATAAACTGATAAAGTAAAATCCATATCCACCACCAGCAGGCACGGGACTGGGCTGGTCACAATCACTCTTACACACACTAAGAGCCAGTTGTCGACATGCAATGTAACTTACCACCCTACTTGAACCTGCAGTCACAAGATGAACAAAAGAAAGAGAGAAAAACAGGAAAAGATAAACAAGCCGATATTAAATGTCGGGGAATATATTGTAATCTAGTTCGATGTACACAGCGCCGCAATTGCACTACCTACTAATACCTCGGTCACTACATTGATTAACAAACACAAGGGAAATAATTATCGCTCCCTGTTGCCATAACTATAACGACAGTCTCTTCAGATGATTTACTTAATCCGATAGTATTTCAACTATCAGCTTCCCATGTTCTGCCGATTCCAAACGTTCCTGGGAAGGAACAGCACAGTACCAACATTAGCAAACAACATCATTGCCGGCATACAACGACTACTAGTACCTTTTTTGTAATGATGGTGTGCTACCTGTACATGCAGCACATGCAGCACATGCAATGTCAGCAGCCAAGTTAGTTCTATCAAGAACCTACCGTCATACAGGAGTGGGGAGTCACCGACTGGATGAGTGACAACATGCTCGGATGAAAAGAGAAGCGATCTACATTGTCATAAGCACAGAGCAGATCAATAACACCAAGAGTACATGAAAACCAGAGTGTGCAGCTTGGGGCCTTTTCTGCTATGGGTGTCTGTCACGGGGGAATTCCGTGATTACACCATATTTGGCGCAGATCTGAGGTGGGAAATGGCGTAGTGCGTACAACTGAGCTGCAGTTGTGCAGAAAGAGACCTGCTTGAACCCTGCTTGTAGGCACTACATCACTAAAAAGATGTAATCACGGAATTCCGCCGTGACAGCAACCCATCCGAGCTGCACACTCTGGTTTTCATGTACTCTTGATAACACCGCCGACAACAACAAAGACCAGAACAAGAACAACAAATTGGTGGCTGATGAGGAGAGGAGAAAGTTCAGATTCGTAGTTGTTCCAGCTAGGAGGATTGTTCCTGAGCCAACGCTAAATACTAGGATCAAAGGTTATTGGTGCAACCGCAGTGTGCTACGTACATGTATCTGCTAGGTGACAGAGGAACTCCATACACACTGCAAGACTGTACAAAATAAATGAGAGTAGAATGAAGCTATAAACAGGATCAACTGCACACTCATGACGCCACACACACAGCTACACAAGGTAGGTCTATGCTGTTTCTTGTGACCTTCATCAGTCAGCGATCATCACTAAAATGGAAGTCACTTTCAAGTTTCTACAATATCACTAGACAGGAACCGGGTTAACCATGCATACCGGCACTTGCGACATCGATAGACAACGTCCTCGGGCCCTGCAACATTGCTGCTCGAAAGCCATCCCATAGACATCTTACTTCGGTCAAATTCACCTGATAGACACACAACACACACACACACACACACGTGGAACGGATAGTTTTTTCCCCCGATGAAGACCAGTATGGTCAAACGTAATTCATTTGCAATCAGTTCCGTCTCTCTGTGGGATGGTGCAGTCACTCTACTCTTGGGCAGACAGACAGATATCTGGCAAGAGCTTGCTTTTCCGTGTAATGAAATGCTAACAGAGTCATACAAAGTTGCACAACTGAAAAAATGAAAAATAGGGATTCACTAGCCAGAAAAAAGCTGCTTCAATCAGCCACCTCCCCCGTATGGTGTAGACTAGGCTAAAATTAGTGGCGGTCAATTCGCAGCCGTGTAAGCTGTTGAATGGTGTAATCCCAGCACAAGTTGCTATGTCTAACATAGCTGTTCGCTATCATCGCTTCTGTGATGGGAAGGTCTGAGGTGTGTGTGTGTGTGTGTGCATGTGTGTGCTTGCTAGCTTTTCACCTCTTGTCAGTCGAGAGGTTCCGCATAACGTAATTACGTTAGTAAAAACGTAGTCAATCTACGGAAAGTCTTACGTAAATTGCATGCGCATCTGTGCTCCGCCATACGGAGTTATCAAATCACGTAGCTGCCCTTGGCAACTCCGAATGCGGCAGTGTACGACCAGATCGACCTGGAGAGAGAGTCATACATTTGTACCTCAATCCACTTACGGAGCACCTACGTTATCAGAGCCCTATCTACGTACTCTACGTAGACAACTTTCCGTAAGTGGAGTGCAAACTCGCGAATTCACGGGTTTTCCCGCCCACTAACGTAAAGTTGCTCAACTTCACGTAGTGCGGAACCTCTCTATTGACTCTTCATGTTGCTGATTGTCACTACTCAGCTTGGCGTGGGTAGTGTTGTTGCCTCTACTTTGCAGCTGTCGGTGTTGCATTTTTCTCCTAAACCACTACTTACCTGTTTCTGAGTTCGCAATCGCAATCTTCATTTTCATCAGCTTGTACATAGGATGAGAGAGATTCACTTTACAATTCGTCATCTCGAATAGCCGCAGCTGCTCTGCAAATCCATCATTGGGGCTAAGCAAGCAAAGAGACCCCAAAAGCAGACCAGCAAAGCAGTTGAAATACCTGTAATAATGTCATATCGTCCTGTGCCATCAACAGCCTCTTCAGCACACTCAGTGTCTGCTCCAGAGCCGCAGCGACCCGGTTGGGGCGGGTACTTGGACCCGTTTGAAAAAGTAACGCCAGGTCACTTGGGGACACGGTTGGGAGTATTGTACAGGACATGCCGTGCACATTTTGTTGTACTTCAAGGGTGTACACACTGGTACCGTAACAGGCTATAGGCTAGCAGTAGCCGCACTATCCGGCTCGTACCCGGTTGCAAGAGTTCTGCCTGGCACACGTGTACCCGGTTGCAAGAGTTCTGCCTGGCACACGTGTACCCGGTTGGTTTGAAATCCTAGAGCAGACACTGACACTACCTACAAATTCTTCCCATCTGCCGTGATGGCCAAAGGAAAACACATCACCCTCATCCCCGGCACCATCCAGCTGAGCGGTAGTCCATGCTCTCAAGCATTCTCTGCAGCTGCTAGTACAAGCTTCTGAATATTTTGTGCCGTTGACGAAAAACACAAAATCCTGCCATTTCCCACATGGTTCGGTCACCTCGGTTACAGTAAGCCTGTCTATAAGGCGACCGCTCAAGGGATCTTACAAATGTGGCCCCGTGTACAAATGGTCTTCTTATCCAGGGTCATTTGACAGGAAACAACGTCCCTTAGTCCTAGTTTTAGTGGTCTTCTAGGAGAGGTGGTCGCCCTATCAGAGTGGTCGCCTTGACAGATTTACCATGTACACGACTGTACTGGATGTGGCAAATGGGATTTCGGCCTTGGACCTCGGGTTGGAGGATCTAATCTATCCTCGCCCACCGTAAAGGAGCCGCATCTGATGCCTGATCATGGGGTGGTGGCGTCCCACGGAAGCGGAAAGGTGGTTCTTGACCCGCCCTGTACGCGAACCCGTGCCATTTTTTGTTGTTGTACTTTGCAGCAACTCTACACAGTCGGTCAGCATTAAACATGCTCCACGTCTCTCCTACAGAATGCCAATCACCTTGGGACTCATCCTTCCTCCACCATACTGCCACTTACGAAATGATAGGCCGCTTCTTCTGCACCTCCTTGTATGCCTGATAAAAGTTGAGCTTCTCTGTTCGCATCAGGTAGGCGATTACAACGCTTGAGCTTCGTGAAACTCCAGCAATACTAACAGAAACAAAAAGAAAGCACACAAGTCTGTTAATTTTAGAAATTTGAAAAGAAGTTTGAAGGAACATTCGACGGTCCCTACCAGACTCAAGCGCCAGGGACCTTCGCAGTAGGCCTACGCTGCTCTACCGCTAAGGGGTCGCCGCAACAGTTGTTTTTTCGTCGCCCCTGAAACGAACAACTTTCACATGGGGGGGGGGGGGGGAGGCTGGAAGAGTGAGTCAACATCGCAAGTCGACTGGCACTGTACATACAAGCGATTTGTGTTGCCCAGCATAGGAAATTGCATTCATTTCGGAGGAGGGGGTTGGAGTACGAAATGAACGATGGTCGTTTCATGGACAACAAAAAAACTTCGGCGACGACCCCAAAGCTATGATGTAGTCGTCACCCAGCATAGACCATTCAACATTTCCTTCCGATTTCGAAACTGACATTTCCTGTGAAAATACATAGATTGGTGGGGCGCAGCCCTCGCAGCAGCCACACAAAGCGACAATAATAATTCCCGGAGATATGCAAAAGACGTTACGATTAGTGGCGTCTGGCACTAGCAAGGATCCACAGCGCTTTATAATTGTAATATTGGAGACCGTGCTTATATATATTTTTTCAACCAATAACTCCATACAGAGCAAGAAGAAATACATGCCAGATATCATGCATGGAGCACTGAATTCTACACAGACTGTGCTAATAGTGGAGGACTGTGCTTATATTGTTTCGAAAGGTGCTCACAGTGTGCTAGTATTAGAGTGGTGGTCTGTACATACACTGTCCGGTACTTCTCATGTACCATACAGTTAAAGATAGCCTGAAGAACCGGCCACGCGTGTGAGTTCACCCACATCCATGTACTCAAACAGTGCTTTCGGTGAGGTGATCATAGCGTAAAACAACTTGGTAGATTGCACACATACGCGATGTGTATCAAGGGACTGCATGAAATGCATCAGTGCGGGTTCGAATACTGCAATGTGTTTCGTGTTGTGTCAATGGCGCACATGCAATGAGGGAGACAGGTGCTTGCGGTCCACACACAGATACGAAGCGAGAGAGCTGCCAGCCCAGGGCCCTCGCTATGTGTGGTGCTGGATTTTCCGGGGTGTTGCAGTTGTACGATGCTTCTATGTTGTCAGTTCAGAACGAGTGACAAATGAAGAATCTTTGGCTGGAACTTCAGTCGGGCTTCTCAACTTTTTAACCATTGATAAACGTCTTGTATGTACTAGCCTAGTACCCATCAAGTTTGGATGGCCAAAAATTCAAAATCTGACGTGCGGCTTATGCTCCGAATGCCATAAAAGATACGAAATTTGGGCCCGAAGGGGGGGGGGGGGGGGTGCGGCTTAGACCCCAGAAAATACTTACCGAGGTCATCACGTGTCTTTTTCATGTGTGTTTTTCAAAGGGATAGAAACATCTTTGCAATACGGATATCGGGTACATGTATTGCAAAATTAATATGTTTCTATCAATTTGTTTTACCATTCACGTAAAAGTCAGTTTGACTGACTTTCCGATCCGTAGGAAAAGCAAAAGAAAGCATTTCTTGTAGTGAGCGGAAACAGCTTAGCCGAAAGCTCAATAGGAGGAGGAGGAGTAGAATTAAGGTAAACATCTGCCACTAAGCACGTGCCCGAAATATGCACCCCTTCATTTTTTTTTTAACTCTGTCTGTTGCAGTCAAGTTCAGCCCGATAAACATGCCGCCCGAAATATATGTACCGGTATGGTTTTCAAATGCAGGGTGTAGCCTGCAGCTATGACATACACTGGAGAACGACTTGCATACCGACACCTTGACTTGCGCAGTTGCTGTGTCTGCTTCTTCTCTTTGTTTTCTTTCTTTGTCCTTATACTCTTTCCTGAATTATGAAATTTTCCGAGTAGGAGATCCCCTGGACAGGTCTACAGCCTTTGGGTAATCCTTGAAATACAACAAATACAAAATACTTCTCCACTACGCGCAAGCAGGTCCGAAAGTTAGTACGGGTGTAACCACTAAATTCGAAAACAAGCACAGGTACATACATGTACACGCATGGACTGGGTTATGGACTTATACGATGCTGAAATAGGATTTTCGTTGGTCGTATGTGTCTGAATTGGCATACATGTTTCTGAATTTTTTCGCATATAAACACTCAAATTGTAAGACTTTGCAGCTGAACTAAATGTTTACGAAACTGCACTTCTCAACTCCAAACTCCTAAAACGGTCTCTTCACTGCGATTGAAATTAAAATTGACATTACACCAAATTTTCGGGCCTAGCCCGGCGCCAAGAGTACATAACCCCCAGAGTGTGCAACGCCTGATCCAGCTCTGCATAGGGTCTTGGTCGAGCGTAATCGGATCTTCTGATGTCATGCGTACACTCCACATCAGCGCAAGGCCGGTCTCGAGGCAGGGCACCGTTGTTTTTGATCCGAGAGTACACGTAATTCCCCGGGTTTCCCTCAGATGTGTACGGTATTATGACGCAAAGATCCGATTACGCTCGACCAAGACCCTATGCACAGCTGGATCAGGCGTTGCACACTCTGGGGGGGGGGGGGGGGGGGGGTTATGTACTCTTGCCGGCGCCCATCATCAGGGTAATTTTGAAATTTTTGGTAAATTTGGTGTATTGTAAATTTTAATCGCAGTGTTTTTGGAGTTTGGAGTTGAGAAGTGAAGTTTCCTAAATGTGCAAGTGGCTGCGTTGGAGTTTGCGGGGGAGAAAAGTTGAACAAAATGTGTTGCATTTTCCATTTTGTACCCACCCAATACTCGTTCTGTGCATTCAACATACCAGTGAACAAGGACGTTGCCTCCACTCTTTACAGCCGAGGACACAAACTCTAAGCAATCCTCTAGGACAGCAAGAAGGTCTGCGGTGTCACAATCCAAAATTGGGACGAACTTGACCTTTCCATGACAGTCCAGTGGTGGCAGAGGTTCAGATAGCAGAGATAAGATGTGAGTGATACCATTGTCAACAATTTGGTCCTCATCCAGAGCATCACTGGCAGCCCCAAGAAATAGATGAGGTCGTACGTTATTCATCTTTCTAGTTGGCATTGCCAAATCGGGGTAGGTATGTGCATATGTTAGTATTCAAAAGACTAAGTAGTTCACAATCGTCAATCCACGACCATTCAATTTTTCTAACTCCGTTTCAAAAATGCGCTCATCTGACTTGGCACGAAAACAAATCCCCTGAAGCAGAAAACAACTTGTATCGAGCCTTGAGGAGATACTGGGAACGGGCGTCCGGAACATGTAAAATGCCTGTGGCCATGTGGGTGTAATAAAACGGCCCAAGGCGTAGATTATTTTTTGAATTATTTGTCCAAAAAAGGTTTCTCACTTTTTGGGCAAAATTATTTTACGTTTCTTCTGATTCATGGCCCACATGGGTATCATGATTGTCATGGATGATAATGTACAGTGCCATGCCAGTGGTCAGTGTACAGATATGTCAGTACCACATAGAGTCTATGTGTGTGTGTGGTGTGTAGGGCTCCCTGCATGCAGTGTACCAGTACTGCAGTAGCCTAGCCTGTACTGCTGTAGCCCTGGTTTCTACATCATGCACCAGTAGTTGTATTTGATGACTCCTTGGCCAAGAGCATGAGCTCCCAGCTTATTTTACTCTTGGTACATTTTCAATACTTCATCACCATCGGCCATCATTTCGACTGCAGTCAGAGTTTAACACACAGGGTCAGTAAGTGCTGTCTGCTCTTGTTTGTTCAAGAACACTATTCCACATCGTACAAAATGCCGTGCAGAAAATACTGAGTACGACCTGCGACATGTAGATTGTGGCGAAAAAAGAGAAACTGCTGAAGCCTACATACATACATACACACATACATACATACAACATAGAGCTACCCTAAGAAAATGTAGACAAGAGCAAGGTATGCAATAACTATAAAAATATTTTGAAGTAGAATAGATGCGAAAACAGCTAGCTGTGTGCTAAAAAACCTGAATACCACACCTGTTTGCGATGCTGCATTTTGACGGTTAAAAACTTGAATAGAAAAAAGCATAACGGAAGAAAGACAAGCGGCAGATACCGGATATACGATAGTGAGTATAGCAATACAGAAAGAAACGGGAAATCATGATACCTGCAGAATGGTGAGGGCAGCCTGCATTTTTATTTCCACAGTCACAGATCCGCTGCTGTTGCCACGGCTACGAGTGTGGTACATCGACAGCTCCACATAAAAAAAACCGCGGTTAGAAAAGCCACTGGCAGTTGAGCAAACAGCAAGCTGTGCATCATCGGCTACTATATAAAGGAGGCATGCTCACTGATATGATCACAACAGCGAGTGTTCTGAGAAATTCAGGACTTTGAAGGCGACGGAGAACACTACTGAACATGAATATCCATGTTCTCGGCAAAAGAGAGACGTCGACAGTCAAAGACCAGAAGAGAGCGGCGGCAGAGAGAACTCTGCTTTCGTGTTTGTACCTAATTTGAGCATGGCTAAAGTTACTGGTCCATTGTGTGCGTGTGTGCGTGTGTGCGCATTTCATACAGATGAATCCTGCTCACCCAGCAGCCCATTTGGTGGGAAGAGCGCACGGATCTCGGGCGGCAGAGCGTTTGATGGCATCCGCAGAACATTGCGACACAGGCGTTCAGCCTCAATCAACATCATGTCCAGATCCATTTGATCAGCCAGACC